ACTTTGGTTCTAAAGTATTTGATACAAAGGATGGTAGCTAAACAGCTTTCTGCAAATAATTCATCCCCTTAGTCAATTCATTGAACAAAATTAATAGTCATCTCTGATGTACTAAGTGATGGGGGTATGCAATGAGTATATTAGACATGGTCCTCATAAAATATAGCAGGGGAATGTATATTAACAATTAAGCAAAATATATATATATAATTACAAATTGTGAATAGTGCTGTGAAGGGCAGGTGCAGTGATAGAGAATGAGCCTGGAGGGCAGGGAAGAGGAGAAGACAGCATAGGCAGGAATGATCTCCAAGGTGGTGACCTCTAGGCTGAATCTTAATGAGAGGAACCAGTAAGTTGAAGAGCAGGGGAAAGAACGTTGTAGATGGAATAAAGAAAAGGAGTGAATTAAAAAAGCCTTAGATGCCAGTGGGAGCCGTAGTGGCACAGCAAGCAGTTAAGCATTCAGCTGCTAACCAGAAGGTCGACGGTTTGAATCCACGCGCTCCTTGGAAGCCCTATGGGGCAGTTCTACTCTGTCCCATAGAGTTGCTATGAGTTGGAATCGACTTGATGGCAATGGGTTTGGTTTTGGGTTTAGATGCCAGTGTAGGTGTATTAGTTTTGTAGGGCTGCCGTAACCAAGTACCACAAAATGTGTGGCTTTAAACAACAAATTTATTATCTCACAGTTCTGGAGACTGAGTGTCCAGGGTGTCAGCCATGTTGATTCTTTCTGAGGCTTTGAAGGAGAACCTGTTCCAAGCTTCTTTCCTGTCTTCTGGTCACATAAGGTCCTTTGTCTATCTTTCTGTGTCTGTTGTCCCTTTTCATAAGGACAGCACTCAAATGGGATTTAAACCCACCCTGGTGTGGTGTGAGGACAGTGGTAGTTCGGTGGTAGATTCTTGCCTTCCATGCAGAAGACCTGGGTTTCATTCCTGGCCAGTGCACCTCGAGCACAGCTACCATTTGCCTGTCACTGGAGGCTTGTGTTTTGCTGTGATGCTGATCAGGTTTCAGCGGAGCTTCCAGACTTAGACTAGCAAGACAGGCCAGGCGATCTGCTTCTGAAAATCAGCCAGTGAAAATCCTATGGGTCACAACCGTCTAATCCTGTTGTACATGGGGTCGCCATGAGTCAGAGGCCAACTCTGTGACAGCTGACAGCAACAACTGCTACTCTGCTATGACCTCATGTTAATCTAATTGTTAACATCATCCAAGACCCTGTTTACAAACAATATCATATTCACAGGTACCAGGAATTTAGAACTTCAACAGATATTTTTTGGGGGGACGCAATTCAGTCCATAACAATAGGTATCTGGGAGGTTAGGGCAGCAGAGTATCTTTGAGAAAGCAAGTTGAGAGAAGAAGATTGATTTGGAGGGAAGATGGTGTATTTAGTTTTGGACTTACTCAGTTTGTCATATTATGATATATCCAAGGGAACATAGCCTCACTTAATGATGTAAGACTAGTTTAAAGAGAGAAGACAGGATTGAAATTATATTTGGAACTATGAGCACTTAGATCAGTCAGTGTGTGCTGATTGAGTGACTCATACATGTTGCACTGCAGTTTTCAAAATAATTTCTTTAAAACTTTTTATTCATTTTGTTTTTGGTATGTTATATCTCATGATGTACCAAGCATTACATTAAAATATTTATTTTCAAATTATCCTCTAGTAGAATCTAATACAGTAATCTACACCTAAGTTCTCATTAAGTACTCTTGCGGAGCAGTAGGGCATATTGATGAAGAGAACTGTGGAGTCAGAGTACTTGAGTTTGAATCTTGGCTCTGCCAATTGCTAGCTTTGTGATTTTGAGCAGATTTTGCCACCCTCTGTGCTTCAGTCTTAAATTGCATTTGATTAAAATGAGGCAGATAATATTACAGTTTTTGTAAAGGTCAAATAAGTGCTTAGATGAGTAAAATGGGGATAATAAGAGTATATTTAAATTCTACCAGAGGATTGATATGCAGACCACATAAGGCAGTACGTTTAAAGTATACAGCTACCCAAACAAAAAAAACCCATTGCCATTGAGTCGATTTCAACTCATAGCCACCCTATGTAGGGTTCCTAAGGCTGTAAATCTTTACAGAAGCAGACTTCCACATCTTTTCTCCGACGGAGCGGCTGGTGGGTTCGAACTGTCACCCTTTTGGGTAGCAGCCCAGCACTTAAGCACTGTACCACCAGGGCTCTGCAGTAGTACCCACTAAGTCTTAACTGCTTTTATAACTTGCTGACTGATAGTTTTGATGAATTGCTGTACTTTGATTAGCATCTTATTTTTTTCCTCAATGTAATGATAATTTTTATCACTTTTAATAATATGAATTTAGTAGATTATATTATTCTTTATGTCAGAAAAATCAATGTAATACTGATTTAAGAAGATTGAACAAGTATATCTGAGATAGATGTGCTATAACTTCTCTTTAGTGTGTATAAAAAAAGAGATACATATGGATACTTTTCTTTTTCTTTAGGAAAAAAAATCAATTTCTCCAAAACTATCTGGCCCTTCTTAAGAAAATAATTATAAATGATAACCTGAGATTTTTAATACAGAGTAGGTTTAGGATTACTAGATTAGTCACAGATTGTATTGGATATAACTGGAGCATGTTAGTATTATTTGATGTAAAATTTTAAATTCCTAGATTGACACAGAAAGTAAGATATCTCTCATTTTTATAACACAGGGTTTCATATTTTAAGAATTGTCATCAGCTGGCAATGTGCAAAAGTCTATTAAAACTTATACAGTGAGAAAATGCCCGAAATTCTAATAGTAGAGCAGTGATTATCTATGTGTAGACTGTGGACCCCTTGAAGGTCCTTAATATCTCTTCAGGGCGTCCGTGAGGTCAAAACTATTTGCATAATAATATCAAGACAGTGTTATTTTTTTCACTGGATTGACATTTGCACTGTCATGGTGCAAAAGCAATTGTGGGTAAAAACTGCTGGTGCTTTAGTGTGCACAGATCAAGGAGCCCTGGCAGCGCAGTGGTTAAGCACTCCGCTGCTAATGAAATGTTGGTGTTTCAAACCCACCCAGTGGCTTTTCAGGAGAAAGACCTGGTGATCTGCTTCCACAGAGATTACAGCCAAGAAAACCCTGTGGGGCAGTTCTACTCTGTTACATGGAGTCACTATGAATTGGAATTGACTTGATGGCACCCAACAACAACGGGACCAAACTGTGCTAGTAGTCATTGGAGTCTTCACCATCACATATTTGAAGTAAAATAATATGTGTGTCACTTAAAAATGTCTGTGAGGAAGCAGAAAAAAATTATTTTAATCTGTGTCATGAAATGGGAAGTATACATACAACACTTCCACTGCATAATGAAGTCTGATGGTTGTTTTGAAGAAAGGTACTTGTACAGTTGTTTTAAGTTGTGAGTTGACGTAGGCACTTTTTTCATGGAATATCATTTTTATTTGAAAGAACTAACAGACGTGGTTTTTCTTACTTGGGTATTTGGCAGACATTTCCTCACAAATTAATGAAGTTGTCATTTTAAGGAAAACAACTGGGAGTATTTTTTGTTGCTGATAAAATTGGAGCTTTCGATGAAAAATTAGAATTTTGGAAAACTTTTTCTGTTACCTTGAACTTGACGGCTTCCCAATACTAAAAGACTCTTTTGATGAAATTGGTGGTGATATTAACAAATGAGATATTTTGAAATAGTACAATGAGATGTGTCAACTTTTGGAAGATCTGCAGAACTCATTGACTTAATATTTTGCAAATGACCAGTGTGTGATGATAAAATCTTGCATGTATAAAGGATTTAAAATGCAAGAGACCAATGGATATTAATATAACAGTTACAAAAGTTCATTGATATGGTTTCAGATTTCACGTGGCAACCAGCCTTAAGCAGCTATCACTTGCTTTGGTGTAGTATCAAAGAATATCCACAATTATCTGAAAGACTGTTAAAGTACTCCTTTGTTTTTCTTCTGTGTGTATGTGTGAGGCTGGATTTTGTTCAACCAAATTAACACATCCAGAAAGATTGAATACAGAATCAGATATGAGAACCCAGTTATCTTACATTAAGTCACACAATATAGAGATTTGCAAAAGTGTAAAATGATGCCACTTTTCTCATTATATTTTTTTCTTTTGGAAATATCGTTTTCACTGAAAATATTTATGTTAACATGTAATGGGCTTATAATTGTTATATTTAAATGAATTACTAAATAATATCAAAAAGTCTCAATTTTAATTTTTAATATGTTGAATATCAATAGGAGTAATTAACATAAATAGAAGCTCTTTGGGGTTCTGAATAATTTTTAATAGTGTCAAAGGGTTATAGAGTCGCTATGAGTTGTAACTGACTCAACGGCGGCAGGTTTGGATTTGGTTTGTAAAGGGGTTTTGATAATCTGTGGTCGATAGGAATCTACTTATAATTTAGGAGGAGAGCATAGCTTTATAATCTAAAATATACAGATTTTGGCTTAAAGCAATACTTTGATTTGGCGTATTTCTCAAATGGCAGTGTTGAAGTAGGTTTTTCTAGGCGTCGCACACTTTGTGTTATTTGATGTCATTTTATTTTGAAACTTTTCTGAACCTTTATTTTCATTTTGTATCTTGAAAATACATAAGTTTTGGGGGACATTTAGTTTTTCTTGATTGGCCTTGGCTGGTTTTCTAAACAAGTTTAATAAGGTATAAGAATGCTGAAAAAGATGTTCTGTCACAGTCTGTGGAATGTTACTGGTATCTTACACATATAGAATGAATATTTCATATTTCCGTTAGATGGATAAAATTTTGTTCAAAATTTTTTTTAATAAATGTAGTCCATTTCCATTTTGGAATACATGTCGGGATTAATTCAGTATAACTGGAGTCTTCTGCTTGGCAGTGGTAACTCTCTATCCTTTTATCATATAAGATATGATGTTATCAAGTTGGTGAGTTTTCTTTTCTTTTTTCTATAAGCAGATAATCTCAGTGACACCTTGAAGAAGCTGAAGATAACAGCTGTAGACAGGACTGAGGATAGTTTAGAAGGATGCTTGGATTGTCTGCTTCAAGCCCTGGCTCAAAATAGTAAGTTACATTATGTTTACTCAAATGTCAAACAAAAGAATCAAATCAGCAAACATTCAGAAATTGGTAGTTTAGCACATAACTTGAATTCTATCTCTGAATACTGTGGTTGTTTTATATGTTCCAGCCTCCCACCCTCTGCCCCTCTCCCCCCATACCTCTTTGCCCCCGCAAGGTGTACAGAAAGCCAAGTTGATAGGCGAAAGAAAGAAGGAATTGATTGGTGGTGATGACATCAGTACCAATCCCAGAGGGAGGTTATTGTTTCATTCCAAACAGACAAGCATCATAGTTGTTTTTCTTAACACTTACGTTTGTGCTTTAAAAAGAAAGACAATGTGTTTATGTGTAGGGAGGGGAGAAGAGAGAAGAAGAGACGGGGAGCTTAAAACACTTAAAAATTTTTTTCTGAGATCTTACGGTCACTTTTGGTACAACTTTACTTTAAAATAATGTGTTTATGTATAGATTCAGTTGGAAGGAACCATCAGCAATTAAAAAAATCCATTAAAATTGAGGTAAGACTTGATCTTTGGTGTTTTGGTAAATTATACTAGAGACAGAAACCACACAGCTCTTTATTGACTAACACATTGTATTATTGCATTTGATGTATCATATTTCTATTCACTAATTTCCGTACTGTCACAGTGAATATACAAGTACAAGTGATCTTCATTTGTTCCCTTAATTCTACTTGTTCCTGCTATGGTTTGTCCTGTATTTGCGGTTAATTATACCATGGTCTTATCCTGGGACTAATTATGTATCTGACAAAGAACTCGGGAAAGTATGTATTGTTAAGGTTTCAGTTTCAAGCAGTCAGAGGTATTTGTCTTCTTTCCTTCCTTCCTTCCTGCCTCCTTTCTTTCCTCCCTCCCTCCCTCCCTCCTTTCCTTCCTTCTTACCTCATTCCCTTGTTCCCTCTGATTTAGAATATCTTAAATCCATCAAAAAAACACATTTTAAAGCTAGTTTTTAAAATTTCTTTCTAGTAATTCTCTTTGATTTTGAGATTATAACTCTATCAAGCGATTTAATCTTAGTAGTAATAGAAGGAATTTGAAACCAGGAATTCAGTGAGAGCATCTAGATAAGGCTCAAGATTTAAAAGAAAAAGGAAGACAGGAAAGAAGAATGTCTAAGGCTGTGCTGCCCATTAATGTAGACACTAGGTACATGTGGCTATTTAAAGTTAATAAAATTAAAATTAAGTTTCACAGTCTTATTTCTCAGTTGTTACATTTGCTTTGCCAGCTACCTTACTGGGACACACAGACACAAAATACTTCCATGATCAGAAAAGGTTCTTTTGGATAACGTTGGTCTAGAGGACTAGAAAGAACAACGTAATAACCTGAGTTTTACAGTGCCTATATAGGCAGCTTTACATAATAATGCAGTTAGTCTAAGTAAACTGAGTACCTCAAATTTACATTTTTCAAGAGTTGTCTATAATTTCAGTGGTCCCTTTTTTCCCTCGATGTTATAAAAAAGTAGAATTCCTATATGGGCCGTTGGCTTCAGAATCTGAAAGACAGAGAGAGTATTTCCTTGCTCACACGTAGAGGGTTGCTCAGTCTTCTCTTGGAATGACTGGAAGACAGAGATGAAGAAGGAAAGGGAAGAAAGAAGGAAGCAAAAGTTTATAGTTTTTTAAAGAGCAGATTCAAGAGATACTAGCAAGTATACAGTTGTTGGATTAAATTTCAGACCCATTATGGAAATTATTCCTTGAACCTTTGTATCAAAAATGGTCTTGAAATTGTATGTTATAAAATGTTAAGGTCAGATAACCATGAGGTATTAATGACAACAACACACTATCAATTTAACTAATGACTCTCCAGGGGGAAACAAAAGGAATATGTCGTCTTATGAATTTGTTACAAAATCATCAGTGTCCTCGCTAATTAACATAATGTCTCATGTCAGCTGAAACGAGAATTTTACATAGGATGAAGGAATATAGTAGTTTCCTAAGGCTTCTGTAACAAAGTATTGCAAATGGGTGGCTTAAAACAACAAATTTATTGTCTCTAAAGAGTACTGGAGGGTAGAAGTCTGACAGGAAGGTGTCAGCAGGATTAGTTCCTTCTGGAGGCTCTCAGGGAGAATCTGTTCCATGCCTCACTCTGAGCTTTTGGTGGTTGCCAGCAGTCCTTGGCGTTCTCTGGCTTGAAGATGCATCACGCCAATCTCTGCCTCCATGATCACTTGGCCTTCTTCCCTGTGTCTTACTTGTATCTCATAAGGATACCACTGATTGGATTTAGGGCCTAAGTCTAATCCAGTATGGTCTCATTTTAACTTTTTTACATCTGCAAAGATCCTACTTCCAAATAAGGTCATATTCACAGGTACCAGGGCTTAGGACTTCACTGTATTGTTTGAAGGAGGACAGTTCAACCCCATACAGGAAATTGATATAGACATGTAATTTTGATTTAGGAATAATATCTATCACTGATTGTGTACATAGCACTGGCCTGGTTATCTAATTTAATCTTTCTTATAGCCCCATGAGTTAGACATCAACATTTAAAGGATGTGGAAACAGCTTCAGTGAAGTTACTTGCTTTGGTCTGGCAGAATCCAGAGTCTAGATTTGAACTCTTCATTGACAGAATAAAAAAAATCACACTCTGAGAAAAGTGTAATTTTTTGCTGGGTTTATGACTATGAACTTAATTTAAGAAGCTAGATTTTAATATTGTTTGTTAATTTTTTGCTTTTTATTTAAAATTTTTATTATTAAAGATGGGGATGATATGTAAGCTTTTTTTTCCTTGAGCTATAGACTGATCATAGATATTTATTTATTGGTGTTTATTGATATCTTTTATAGAAGTGGTATCTTGCTTTTAAACAAGTAAAAATATAACAGTAGGATGTTTATTTTCTACAGTTGTCCTTACTTCCCTGAGTAAAGTGATTGATCCATTGCTACCTCTCTTCTCTTAAAAAGGTAAAATTATAAAATATCCAACTTAGGTGAATCTGTTTGTGCTTTTCTTACACAAAACCAAAAAACCAAACGTGTTGCTGTTGAGTTGGTTCCAACTTAGTGACCCGATAGGACAGAGTAGAAATGCCCCATAGGGTTTCCAAGGAGTGGCTGGTGGATTTGAACTGCTGGCATTTTCTTTAGCAGCCGTAGCTCTTAACCAGTGTGCCACCTTAATTTTGGATTTCCATTACACATATTCCCATCTTATTCTTCTACAGAATGGAGAAATTTTTCTTTCTTGATCAGGTGCAACTACATGCAAACAATGACATTTTTAGTGTCAGATGTTTTAGCTAAAAATGTCGTTGTTTGCATGAAGTTGCACCTGATCAAGAAAGAAAAATTTCTCCATTCTGTAGAAGAATAAGATGGGAATACGTGTAATGGAAATCTAAAATTAAAATTTGATTTTACAATCTACTAACCTGTCATTGGAAAGAATATTTCTGAAATTAAAGAAATAATGCTATTAAAATATTTATACCATAGAGATCTGGTATATTTGAATTATTCATTACGACTGATTGTAATCTGAAATGAAAACTTTGATTTATGACTTCAGAGTGATTTTTTTTTTTTCTTTTTGGAAATATTATATACCAGTTGTCTTAGAATTGATTCGGACTCATGGGGATCCCATGTGTGTCAGGTTGGACTGTAATCCATAGGGTTTTCAGTGGCTGATTTTTTTTTTTCCTGAAGTAGATCACCAGTCATTTCTTTCAAGGTACCTCTAGGTGGACTCAAACCTCCACCTTTTGGTTTGTGTTAACCATTTGTACCACCCAGGGACTCCTTGGTATCATTAAATATGGTATTTACTTTATGGACTCTTTCTAATTTATAGAAAACATTATTGTAGAAAAGCATTTTGTTTTAAATCTCTGATTTTAATTAATATAGAGGCATTCATTCACTCATATAAATACTTCTGATCTCAGTTTTAAAATTTTTTAGTGAATACTTGAAGGCCACCAGCCGGGAAATCAGCCCCTGTTTATTCCATTCTGTTTTGATTCAGGTTATGGTTAGGGAATTCTCAGTAAATGCTTGTGGAAATTGTAGTGTGGTTAATCTATTTCATGCTTATTTGAAAATTTCAAACAATAGGCCACCTGTTTTGTCCCTAGATATTAAGACAGGACTTGGTCATCAAGAATATAGTATCTATATATCACCTACTACTAAATGTGAATCAAAAGCCCAGAGACACAAAAACTTAACATTCTATTCATAATTAAAATTCTGTTCTAGTCTAAGGGAATGAGGACCATGTGCATTGCTGTGGGAACCACATAACAATGCTGGCTTAATCATAGGTACAGCTTTAAACTCTTCCTGAAGGAGTAGACTGTTTTTCTCTGTCTCATCATCTCTTTTACCTTTGTGTTTTAACTTTACTTAGTTACTTGCTTGATGACACTTCCTATTTCGTACAGAAGTCAGATAATAGCTTACATTATTTACCATAGAATAATTCTCTAATAGAACACAAGTTTTTTACTTGTCTTTATAGGAAAAAAAGTTTATCTAGGTCCAAAGCTAAAAGTCAAATTCTTAAATGTATATCATAATACCCACTTACCTGTTGAATTGTTATTTTTTAAGCCCACTTACCTGTTGAATTCTCAGGTTGCTGTTTATTTTGTTCTGTTGATTTGTTGGCTCCCTTCTAGGCTGTAATGCTGAATATGCCAAATAATACTCATAAGCTGCTAATGTAGATTACTCCATGAATGGTCTCTTACCAGTAAAAACTTTGTTGTCATTTTCTTTTAGTCTGCTTTATGCCTTCAGTATTTCTAATACAGACTTCAGATAGCAGAATTACTTCCTAAGTCAGAGACATTGGAACCTATTATCAAGTGCTTTTTTCAATGATGTTGTTAGGTGCCGTCAAGTCGGTTCTGACTCATAGCAACCCTGTGTACAAAAGAATGAAACACTACCCGGTCCTGTGCCATCCTCACAGTCGTTGGTATGCTTGAGT